AAAAAAAAAAAAAAAAAAGGATCCCTAAATGGCCTGTGAGGTACATAAATGGGTTTTCTTTCTTTCTTACTTTCTTTTTTTCTTTTTGTTTTTTGTTAAGTTTTATTTCTTTAATCTGTACACCCCAAATGGGGCTCAGACTCACCACCCTGAGGCCGAAGAGTCGCATGCTTCTTCGACTGAGCCAGCCAGGCACCACATACATAGATTTTCTGATGATTCTGATTGAACTTGTACTGAAAAGTGTGTTTTCTTAAATCTACATCATGTCCAGTTCTAGAGACAGGTTTGTTTTCTAGTTTTTCTTTTCTTATGGGTGCATTCACAGTAATGTGTAAGCTGGCAAACCATTAGGGGCTTTAAAAATTATTTCATCATGGGGCACCTGGCTAGCCCAGTCAGTTGGCTAAGCGTCTGACTCTTGATTTTGGCTCAGGTCATGATCCCAATGTTCGTAAGATTGAGCCCCACATTGGGCTCTACACTGACAGCATGAAGCCTGCTCGGGATTCTTTCTCCCTCTTTTCTCTGCCCTTTCCTTGTGCACATGTTCTCTTCTCTCTCATAAAATAAATAAATAAACTTAAAATAAATTATTTCATTACTTTTGCATGTCATATGATAAAACAAGTGATAATATTTACTTTAGTGGTACCATACCATTTTAAATGTTAAGAAATTTTCATATAATCTTTGATAATAATAATCAGTTTTTACTGCTTGCTTGCTAGCAAGTGATACACATGGCTCAGTGTGTTTTTAAATAATTACATAAGGACAGGGTAGCCATGTTCCCATACAATCCACTTGCTAAAGTTGCAGCTACATGCAGACACTGGTTGTAATTTCTGAATCTATCCCGGAACCAAAGAGAGTCTCATTGGCCTGTTGATTTGAAGTGGTCAGATGACCACTCTGGCCATGCCTGCTTTGGTTGATTAGTTGAGGCCAGGTGGTTTAATATGGGGGGTACCCTGGGAAACGGGGGGAAAGCTGATACCACCAAAAAGGTCTGTGATTCATAGATTCTTAGAAGTGGAAATTTTGTCACAAGACTTTTCCTCTCCAGCACATTTTATTTCTTTTTGCCTTTGTTAATTTGATGGATGGAGAACAGTAATTGAGGGGTGCTTGGGTGGCTCAGTCAATTAAGCGTCTGACTTTGGTTCAGGTCATGATCTAATGGTTCATGAGTTCAAGCCCCATGTCAGGCTCTGTGCTGACAGCTCAGAGCCTGGAACCTACTTCAGATTCTGTGTCTCCCTCTCTCTCTCTGCCCCTCCCCTGCTCACACTCTGCCTCTCTCTCTCTCAAAAATAAATAAACACAAAAAAAATTAAAAAGAAAAAAAAAACAGTAATTGACTTTAATCTGTGATTCTTTTATCATTAGTGAGGTGAACATTTTCAGATATTTAGCCATTTGTGTTTCTCATTTACAAGTTGAAACCATGTTCTTTAGCAAATTCTAGTGAATTTTTGTTAATGATTCTAGAAATGAGTATCTTACTGGATTTTAATCCTCTTTATAAGTTTTACATTTGAAAAATAACTTACCATTGTAAAGCAAGCATGTGCATTTATTTCCATAACCCTTAAAACGTGAACGTTAAAGACACATGAACACTCCCCTAGTAGCTAAAAACTGTTGGTGTCTGATTAGGTAGACAATGACATTTTTTCCTTTTCAGGCAGCTTCTGTAAAAAAATCTCTGGACAGTGGGGAAAAGATTGTGTTTAGTTTCCGGCTGCACCCCTGTAGTATAGAATTGGTCATTGTTTTAGCCAGGACGTGGTGAGTTTTACTAAGCATAGACCGTGTAGCAAGGATGCAGTGAACTCTTTTCTTTCCTCTTTACAGGGAGTCGATGTTGATGCAGAAAACTGTGCAGTGTGTATTGAGAATTTTAAAGTGAAGGATGTTATCAGAATTCTGCCATGCAAGTACGTCCTTGTTACTTCCTGAGACGCTGCAAACTACCCACTATGTTTCAGGTTTCCGACAAAAGTGTTAACGTGTTTTTTTATGATGTAAGGATCTTGCTATCATGTGATGATCTTGTGATCGTCTCATCTTTTAGGAAGGAAGCTGGAGCCTTCGAGGCTCCTGGATTTGGATTATATTGCCTTCAAATTGCTTAGGACGCTTCAGGTCCTAAGACAGACCCATTATGTATCTTTGATTGGCTTCTAGTCTAAAGCAGGGCTTCATTAGGAACCTGGGAATCCCATCCCACATTTAGCCATGCAAGATATGCTGTGTCGGAGTAAGGAGACTGAAGCATGACTGGTGAAGGACCCCAAGGGGGGCGGCCAGGAATAGTTAGCAGAGAGTCGATCGCGGAGGGCGGTGGTCTGCTATTATTTGCACGCTGGGGTGTAGGGCTTTAGGTAGGTTCTGCCAAATAAATATTTCTTGCTTTAGGTATACTAGGGGCTTTGCTTTAGCAATGGGAAGTCAAGCTTTCCTTTTTTTTTTTTTTTTTTTTTTTTTTTTTTAATTAAATAATGGGATACTTTATTGATAACCATTTAGAGGAATGGCTGTTACCAGAAAGATGTACAAAATGACAATATACTTTAGAGTCTGATCAGTTTTAATTATACTTCTCACCTATTAGGAGAAATAGGTCAGAAGTTAATATGTAATTATGGTTTGCTTTGTGTTTACAAAGTACTTCAGTATTTATATATAAGTACTCTATAGTAGATTAAGTTCTCAGTGATTCTGTAGAGAAAACAAATAAATATCAGAATAACAAAAGTTTCCAGAATAAAGATTGCTAACTTCAGTTTGCAGGCTTTTATATGAGGTTGGTGTGGTGGGCACTTAATGTATTGGGTCAGTATGTCCTGTAGAAAGTTATTAAAATCAGAAAGGATTTTTACCATAGGATGCTTTAGGGCCGGTCTTTCTGACTTAAAAATAATGCTTGGGATACAGCACAAGTGAGCGGCCTGAGGCTCACTTCCTTTGTGACACCAGATCTGTCCTGATAGCTGAGCTGGGTTTCATACTTGACCCTCACAAGCAGACATGTTGCATGTGCACATTTCCTGGCCTCCTGATCTGGGGTTTTTACTTGTTTCTCCCCATTTTCTCCCATGCTTTATTTAACAGATTTCGCAATAAAGCCAACATGTTTCCTTTGTGTTTCTGTAAAAATCATTCCATTGGGTCAGTCAGCTTCAGTTTCAATTTGAGGATGGAAAGGACAGAAGACAAGCTGGGCTAGACTGTATTCTGTAATTAAGTTCTTTTATCTTTAACTGCGCTGTCAGACTTCTGTATGAAGAAGAGGTCTTCAAACAACAGCATTAATAGTGATAACAGTTGCTCAGTATTTTCTGTGCCCAGCACGGTTGTAAGCACACTGCATGTCGGCTGCTGAGAACAGCCTGGGGTGTAGATACAGAGAGGTTGAACAGCTGGTTCAGACTGCCAGCATCACGTCACACAGTGGTCACTGGAGCCATGGGTACTGTACCCATTCTCCTGACTCTGTATCTTCACCATGTATAGAAGGCAGATTCACCAGGTAGGAGGCAAAGGGAGCCAACTAAGACAAATCAGTAAAAGAAAATACGTAGGCAGTTTTTCTTTTTTTCTCTTTTTGATTCTGAAAGTGATCATTTTAGAAAAACATGGAGTATACAAAAACACGGTTAAGACAGAAATTAAGTGCTTTCTTTTAAGCCTACAATCTAAGACGATCTGTTTATATTTTGCTGTATTTCCGTTTGATTCATTTCATGAACTTCTATAAGATACTCTGAGTTCAGGATAAGCTTTTTGCTGTTGGTTTACTTATGCCACATTTATTCCCAAAAGGCTTTTAAGTAAGTTACAGGGGCACATAAAAATATAGCCTAGCATGAAGCAAAAATAAACCGTGCTGTTTTTGTGGAGTGAAGGGAAAATTTCCCTGTAAGTTCCAGATTCTGTTTAACATGGGAAATAGAATAGATAATGACATAGAATAAGTGAATAGACTAGAATGTTGATTTGAAGTTGTTTAACTTGTTCTGAGAAGGTGAGTTAGTAGAATGTGTTGTTTCCTTAATAAGATACAAACATTTATTTTAAAACATTAACACATACTTAATTTTTTTAGGCATATTTTTCATAGAATATGCATTGACCCATGGCTTTTGGATCACCGCACGTGTCCAATGTGTAAACTTGATGTCATCAAAGCCCTGGGATATTGGGTTTGTTACATTTTTGTTTATATTCAATCTCTGCCCCGGTTCTTCCTGAGTGATGCGATTTCATTACTGACCAGAGGCAAGAGGAACGGATTAAGTGCTCCTTCTAACATGTTTGTGGTTCTCTGAAGAAATTTTCCTCGTGATTAAAAATGCATTTTTAAGACATCCCAAAAAATTAATGAACTGCTACCTTTGCGGTTATAGACTAATACGGCCAGATGCTTCCCCCCAGAGAGTTTGTAATTGCTTAGAGCAGTGAGCTTTGGTATGCTGCCCTGCAGAATATATATATGCTCATCAGTGTCATATAAACAAGAATTGTAAAGTTGGAAATGAAAGGAGCCTCCTACATTTTCTGGCTCAAGGCACACATGTTACATATGAGGAAACTGAAGCCAACACTCCTTGACACAAGGCCTCAGATTCCTGGCTTTCGAAACCAAATCCTGCTGGGGAAATTGGTCCCGTGTGGAATTTGCTCTGTCAGTTTGTGGTACTCAGGTGGTCATAGGACCTTCCTCAGAAAACAGAGACATGAGGGCAGAGTGAAAGGGGGTGCCTCATCGTAGCCAGCCATGTGCTGAGGGCCTTATGTACATTATTACATGCAGTCCTCAAGGCTGCTCTAAGAGGTAAGTACTATTTCTCTAATTAGGAACTTGAGCTTAGAGAAGCCAAGTAGCTTGCTTAGGTCACACAGCTAGTTACTGGGGAATCAGCTTTCAGACACCAGCTTGCTTAATTCTTGGGTATAATATAGCTTTTAACCAGTAGTCCCACCCAAAAGGGGAGACATAGGGGGAAAAAAAACAGATTTCTCTAGATTGCTGTATTTTTAATTATTTTTGGAGTCTTCGTATAATGTATTGTCTTAAAATATTCTTGATTGTTAAACAGTAAATAATTTTGAAATACTGATCTCTGGAAGAAGTCATTTAAGTATCAAATAAATTTCTTGTATTGCTAAACATTTTTGTTTTAGAAAACTTTATAGTGTTTATGGTAGAGCTAGAGACCACAAGGAGGTTTTTCATGCACCTTACAGCCATAATAGTCCTCGAGGTACCCTGTCATCTTCTGGCTTAGTGCGCCTTAGAAAGATAGTTGAGAGCCTGCTGCCTTAATTACTACTGTAATTTTATGTGAATTATATTTTTCAGTGTGAGTCCCAGAATGCCCTCACCATAGGTACACAGAAAGAGCGGGGGGGGGGGGGGGGGGGGGGTTGGTCAGCTTTCAAGACCTGTCTTATTGAAAGAAAACTTCACCCGCTTTAATGTCTAGAAATTTTGTCTTTCCTCGAGAATTTCTATAGTTTATAGTTTTTAATAATGATGGCTCTACTTAGCAGGGCATAACATGCTTTCTTAGGGAACTTGAAACTTAGTGAACTGAGCCTGTAGCTCAGACAAGAGAGTGCACTTTCCTAGGATTTTAACCAATACAATATAGGGAGCTTGACAGATGTTTTTCTTGGCAAAGGTTTCCTTTTTCCTCTTTTCCTTCCTGTCTGGCCCCATACTGTCAATGCAGAGCCCGACACGGGGCTCATCCTCGCAAACCATGAGATCATGACCCGAGCCAAAATCGAGTCAGATGCTCAACCGGGTGAGCCACTCAGGTGCCCCCTAAAAGTTTTTATAAAGATATTTTGCTAAACTTAGCACTGAGACTTTAATCGTTGTGAGTTTTGTTTTGGGAAATATATCTACGTATGTATATTTGTTAAAATGTTAATTTCAGAAAGCTTGAGTATGTCCTCAGAAAGTAATTTTTTTTTTGAAGAACAGAAACCTATAGTAAGAGATTAACTTGTCTTGCCCTTAGTTTTTACTTTTTGGATGAATGTGCCGTTTTCTTTAAACCCTGTGGCCCGTCCTGCATTGAGTTTCGTAGGTATGACACTCTCATATGGTAATGACTGGTAAGAGAGCTGCTGTCAGTCCTTCACATGGACTTGGGAGGTGGTCCTTTCATTTGCAGTTGTAACCTCCTGGATGGGCCATTTGTCACTCTTGTTTTCATTCATTCAGCAAGCATGTATCAAAGGAGCACTCTTTCAGGTGCTAGATCGAAACTTGGGGAGACAAAGACAAGTGAGACGCAGCCCTTCTGCCTGTGGGCTCTTGGGGATTTCACTTTCTGGACTTTGGGGGCCAGGGGACACACCCGTGCACAGTGCAGCAGAGGACGTATGTTTGAAGTGCTGAGGAGCATGGAGGAAGGAGGAATTTACTCCACCAGGTGGAGTGGGGAGATAAGAAGGTGGTATTTTAAGAGGGGAGTCTGAGCCTGGTGTTAAAGAGTTTGTCTGACCGATCACTATATTGCAGATAGGGGTATGACCGTGTGGGCTTTGAGACCGGCAGGTAGTCCAGTTTGTCAGGCACTTCAGTAACTATCTGGGAAAACAGATAAGGGTGGGCTGGGTGGGAGTTTGGACTTTCTAGCAACTCAGTAGGATTCGTGGTTTGCTGTGTCGGGAGTCTCAGTTAACCAGTGAGGAGGAGTCTGTGTGCTGTGTTGTTCAGGAGGGCGGTTCTAGAACCCTGTGGAGTGGCAGTGGGAGCAGCGTGCCAGCCGTGCCCTTGACCCCGAGAGCCCAGTGAGGGAGGTGCAACAAACACCATGTTCTCACATAAAGCCCAGGCTCACAGTAAACCCAAAAGCCACCGCTCATTTACCAGGTGACCTAGTGGTTTCCTCTCTCACAACATGGCCTGACTCTGGTATTAATCAGAAAGGTATCTGGATTAGCCTCCATGTAAGACCGGGCTGTCACTTTCATGGTCCTGTTCTTTAAAGCAGCGCACGGGAGAGTTGAAGGTAGACTGAGAGCCAATAGACACTGTCCTCAGGGAGCCACAACTGATTGTTTTTAAGTGAACTAAATGCAGTCTGAAGCCCTCTGTTTTCAGATACTGTGTTCTTCCCCCAAACCCTGGTGCCTGCGGTAAGACAGTATGACAGTTAGAGGCAGTAATCCGAGCTCATGGCCACAGCCAGGCTGATTCACACCCTCTGTCCAGGAAGCAGGGAAAATGCATCTATGACAAAGCTTCACTTACTGTCAATAAAGAATTTAAAGGTGGCATTGCTTACGTCAAGGTGGGAAATGGTTTTTAAAATAAGTACCGTTTAGGTCTTAGCTGCTTATTGAGAAGTAATTAATTTTCTGATGTTGCTAAATAAAGAAGACATTAATGTTCTTGCCTGATTCTGTGTATAAAAATATTCCGTATGGATTATGCCTAATCATTAGAAGATGATAGATAAGCTTTGAATGTGTTACCCAGACAAGGTATTTTCTTTTCTTCTCTCAAGGGAGAGGTGGAGGATGTGCAGGAGATGCCCGCTCCAGAATCTACCCCTGGGAGTGTTTTGGCTGCAAATTTGAGTATTACTCTACAAGAGGAGGACAGAAGCGAGGGGAACAATTTACCGTCCTCTTCCACTAGTGAGTCTGCACTGCAGTGTGACGCCGGCTTTAAAGAAGATGCAGGTGAAGACACAGCCTTACTAGGTAAGTGCCTTCCAGGTTATAAAACAATGTTGCTGGGGCGCCTGGGTGGCGCAGTCGGTTAAGCGTCCGACTTCAGCCAGGTCACGATCTCGCGGTCCGTGAGTTCGAGCCCCGCGTCAGGCTCTGGGCTGATGGCTCAGAGCCTGGAGA